AATTGGAATTGGAATTGGAGCTCACCCCTTACCCTGACGAAAATTCCATCAAAACTCGGGCTTTTTGTGTAGTTTCTTCTTGTGGTGGTGGTGGTGGTGGTGTTGGTGTTGGTGCCGCACTTCATGATCTTTATTACACTTTTCGGGTTTTCATCTAGCTTTTGTGTTTGTTGTTTAATTGTTTTATAAACTTCAGCACCAGAAATCGAGCTGTGAGCTGCACAGTGGGGCAAAGGTGTGGATATTTGAAATCAATAAAGATGGGACTTGACCATTAAATTAAGGTTAATGATCTCTGTTTTCCGAACCACTGTGCAGCCCCGACTCAAAGTTCAATTCAATTTCAAATGAATTACGAACGGGCCCAAAGTCATGGCTCCCTCCTCCCTCCTCGATCCAGCGTGTCAGAGTTTCAATGTCAGTGCGACGGGGCAAGGATGGGATGGGTTCAGCATCAGATGGAGAGCATGGCATAACCTTTTCTTCTCGGATCGAGTGCTGGCTGGCAATGGCGGAAGTTGGATCAATCGATGTATCAAGTGCGAGAATCGTAATCATTTCTGTTTGTCTATCAACATGTGCGCTGATTTATCTTGGAATCTCTACCAATCGTCTCGGGGCTCTTGTGGATGAGCTGTGATGCGATGCGATGTGATGTGAGGTGATGTGATTTGTTGTGGGTAGGCCCGCAGAAACTGCCAATCAAAGACCTCAAACAGGTTGACCCCCACGCATGAGGATGTAGACTCGGTCGAGTTCTTACAAGTGGCTTCGAGTTGATCCACACGTTAAATTTGGCAAGCGGATTAGCTGCTCGGCGGACAAAGATAACTACATGGCTCTTCCCTTCCCTTTTCCCATGTGAAATTCCCGAGACAATGGACCATATCCTCACCTATTCATTGACCTGCGATTTGGCAAGCGGCGCGCCGATGACTCCGCGCCAGAGCACGCACTCATCGAACGTTCTCCAATGGCTTGAGACTGAGATGAGATTGAGCTGGATGGAGCCCCTTCGAACTTGCTAGCGTTGTGCAACCAGCGATCCGCAACAAAAGGCAAATTTTTTCGGTAGCTGCCACACAATCATTTTTGCTGCCTTGGCCGGCTGCAACGGCTTCAACGGCTTCAACGGCTGCAGTGGGAACTATTTTTATGACCGCTTGGGCCGTAAATAAATCAGTGGACCGATGCTCCCATCGCCCACAAAATGCAAGGTTTAGACGCTTTTGTTTGCTCAGAGGCTCCACTCTCTTCTGTCCGACTGTGGGACACATCAATCATCGCAGAAGCCGGCTGCCACTGATTGAGCGCCAGAATGCACATCTCCCGGCGATGTCTGTGTCTACCACCAAGATCTATTCTGTTTCAAGTTTAATTGCTTCGCATACGTTTTAATTATGCCGCGCACAGAATGCTCCATTCCATGAATGAGAGGTACTTGCAACAACTAATTTGGCAATTTTGCAAACCCGGCTCAAGCTCGATCTGGGGTTCGGGCCAAGGCGCAGGCACAGGCGCAGGCGCGAGTGTAATTACTTTATGGAGTGCTCTGTGAATGCGTCTTTTATGACAGCCATCGTGGTGTAGACAGAGTGCAGAGCGGAGCCGAGATCGAGATCGAGTCCATCGCTCAAATGCCAAAGTTGAGTTGAGCGTTCCTCAGGTTCCTCAGGTTCCTCAGGCAGATCTCGAGATTTCCCAAGACCTGACCTTCGCCTGATTGAGATGAGCGCCAGGCGATACAGTTTGATGGAATGTCATCGACAAATTCTTTAGGAAGTTGTCCATCAAATGTATAGAATGCTATTAAATTTTATCCATTTATGATTCGATTTATTAGGAAATATATTGGTTTGATCTAATGGTTTGATCGTCCATCCTTCGTCCTTCCCTTTGAAGTTCAGCATCAACTGCATCCAGTTATCGAGTACATCTAATCGATTTAATTGATCATTTTCATTGAGGAAGTGGGATATTTCCTCTGCCTCTCCCGCACCACGCACCCCGCCCTACACCCAGTGGCCGCTCCTCTACCCACGAGTTCAGCTGAAAATGTCAAATCTGTTCGTTTCAGCCGTGAGTCAATCAACTTTTACTCTGATTCTGGCAGAAGGCAACGACCTTCGCATCGGGCCAAGAATGCAGTCGGTCGTCAAAGTGCGAAAATCTCGAAACAAACCGCAGTCCCATCTGCTGTGCGCCCCGAACACCTCCTAGAGATCATCGTGATGGGGATTTTTGATCATTTTTTGAAGTGCGGCGCAATTTACATCAAAAGATGCCTTAATTGATTCTCTGGCCGTGGTTCCGCGGCTCCGACTGGGGGGCATTGCATCAGAAATTATCGTAGTTTAATTTAAATTATACGTTTACGTTCCACTCGTCAGCATTCTAGGTTACAAAACAAACACAGATAGAGATCTGGTCCGCGATACAGATACAGATACAGATACATATTGTTGTAAGTATTTCAAGGTCCTCCCCGTCCGCAGCACTGGAGAAACCATCAGGAAATTACCGATAGTCATTGTCTTTTTGGGTTTTGGTTTTGGTTTTGGCTTTGGCGCATCATCACCTGGCTGGGTGCCATTAGCATTAGCCCTCTCTAGAGATCGACACACCACAGCTGTCTCCGCCTGCGCTCCGTCCCCGTTCCCGTCCCCATGTCGGGGGACGTTCAATGTAAATTAGCCGATGCAGGAAATTAAATGATTTTTTAATGTGCTGGAAAAATGATTACAAACATGAACAGAAACCCCCAGAAGAGACTGAAAACTGAAAACCCAAAACAGCAACAGAAACAGAAACAGAAAACAGATCTCAAGTTGTTCATGGAGTGCTATTGAATATGAATCTCAGTTATGGCTCCGTGGAATGCGGCACAAACGAAGTTTTATTTAATTGTTTTGTTTTCCAAATTCAAGAGTCAGGCGCATACTCGTATATTCAATGAAATTAACCATTATAATGTTACCTTAGGATGTTATAGTTTATCTTTTTTGCAAACATAATTCCAAATGATATTCGCTATTACAAAACTTTTGTGGAGTTTATTCTCCAATTTAGTTTTATTATTCGGTCTGGTGGCAAGGTCGCGGCATTACTTGCAGAAACACTTGCCGGAATTCGCATGGAGGAAGCTGGGGCATGGCGTCCATGGGGCATCTCCTCCTGGCACTGCAATTCACTCCACTCCCTCCATTCATTACCAGCTCATTTATGGGGTGGGGCGGCGCCTGGCCTTTGGGGCTTACTGATCGTAAAAATTGTGAAAGTCAGCCCGTGCCAAATAATCAAATAATCAGCGGCAACCACAACAATAGTGCCCCTAACCGTTGTAGCAAAATGTTTGCCAAAAAGTCAATAATCATTTGCCACGCACTCGATCTCGATCTCGATCGCGAAATGGGCAAGAAATGAGCCAGAGAGACAAAGGCAATTGGCCAAGGAAATACGAGCAAGTATTTGCTGATCGTGATGGATGCTACGCCCACTCGTTGAGGGAGTCCATTGAGGGAGCATATGGCAGCAAACATATTGAATTACGAGTACTTTTCGAGTATTTATCGAGCATTTCTTTGTGTTATGCAAGGGAGCTTTCCGGCGATAAGTAGCTATTACAAAACAGATTTTGATCGTATGTCATCTTTAATATATTGAAATAGTTAAGACCGAAAATGTTTCGTCCACTACTCCACTTCTTTACTTTCAAACCACTCGCATAATGCGCTTATCATCAAATCTCTGGGAACTGCAATTGCCCTCGCCCTCCCCAACGATCATCCGCCTGGAATCCATGTCGACACATCTGTGAGATCTATCGCATAATCCGACTCATTAAATCGTACAGAAACTGAAACAAAATCCCACCGAGACTCCCACGCACTAAAGGGAAACAATTTGTTGGGGTATTACTATTACCCAAAACATGGAGAACATTTCGGATTACGATTACGGTTTACAGCCCCAGCCGGGCCGCCTTTCCAGCCTGAAGAGTCTTTTGTCTTTGGCAAAGTTTCGCTGCCGCTGCCGCTGCTGTCTCGGCGGCGACTGAAGATGCGTGGAGCGAGTGGAGTCGCAGAGTTGCCGTGCCAGAGCTCCGCTCACTTTGCTGCCGGCATCGCAGTCGGCGTCGCTGCCAGCTGTATGACTAATTCCATTACAAATAACTGTTTTTGCTATTACATGAGCGACAACAGCAGCGACGGCAGCAGCGGCAGCAAATGCCTATGGTCTGTAGTGGAAGGAGCGCACATTACATTACATTACTTCTCCCGCTACCCGTCTCATTTCCCGAGTGCCTGGGAAGCTCATCTTCGTAGCCGAAGCCAAACCCCCGCCTTCGTGTTCGTTAAAATGTTTGGCGCTTCAATTTCAAAGTAGTTTACTATAACAAACCCCCTTCCCGCTCTTTATCGCCTTCCAACCACTGGTCTGATCTTCCTCTCTCTCACAGCTTCGGCTTAGCCAAAGCCTAGCAATGTAAGGTGAGGCATTCCCGTTTTTCGGGTCTCTCTGTGTAACCGAATGGGATTTCTGGGACAACGAGAATTGGGTTTCGGTAAATGTTGGGGAGAGAGTACTTGGAATTACTATTGTAATTGGCCTCACCTGCCAAAAAATACTCGTTTCCAATGCGCTTATCGTCTTCTAACTCTCGTGAGCCCGGAGAGCAATATGCTCTTCGGCTGCTGCTCTACCTCTGTGCCTTTGCTTCCTCTACTGAAGTGTTTTTGCTTTGCATTTATTTTGTAATGAGCTTTTTGTTGTTTTTGATGTGGCTGTTCGAAAACCGAAATTGAAATACTCCGAAAAAAAAACACATTTTGGCGCGCGATTTTTCGCAGTCGACGCTGACTGAGATACCACGTCGTTAGAGAGATCTGCCACAGCCTCTGCCACAGCCTCTGCCACAGCCAGAGTGTCGGTGCAGCGCATTTCAAATATAAATACTGGCCTACGAAATTGTTTCAGTATCACAATCCGTTCAACCATCTTCGCCAGAAGAACCCCAGAAGCAGAGTTCCACAGAGGAAACAAACAGATTTCGTGTGTGCCAAAACCCCCAAACAAGTGACAACACAAAATGAAGGTATATATCGTATAGGATATCCCCACCATCATCGAATTGGGAGATGGGATCCTGTGTGTTATACATACTACTATAAGAACTGTCGAATAACGGATCAAGTGTCAAGTGGTGTGCAGTGGTGTTCCAAAGAATTATCCTGGTCAGGGGATCACGGCAGGATTATAAGGATTAAATAATGTGATAATGAAAATTAGAAGTTTTGAGGATGTTTCTATCGGATATATCCTTATTTATCAGACTTAACATATGTGCATAAAGAGGATATCTGAATAATACGGAATACTATAAATCATATTACGTACATATATACTCGTATGTAATGGGTTATTCAGGATTTATCATAGAATCCTTTCGAGAGTTTTTCTAAAGTCAATTTTCTTCATTCGGTGATTGAAACTGCAAACAAAATCTCCTAATTTGGTTATTTCTACCAATACAATATTTTGGGGATCTAAACTAAATTTCCTCATACTTAAAAAATCGATCAAAAATGTGCAAAAAAAGTTGTACACAAATTTCTGCAAATTTTTCTTCAACCAAATTTGGTGAATCTAATTTTTTAGCAATCGATCGATCAATCAATTAAACAACTTATCAAGCTAATGAAGCAGCGCTTGTATTGGCCATCCCGCACCTATAACTTGGCCTAAACATCAGCGGAATATGATAAAACGATAAATATGGGTGGCAGATCAAGAGTCAAGTTCAGCTGGGCGATTAATCAAGCGCCTCGGCCCGCGGTGCCCGCCAGAGATCCGCATAATAAATTTCATAAGCTGCCATCATCATCCATTTGTTGTAGGGGGCTACTGTTTTTGTTTATTTGTTGTTGTTTGTTATCTCGGATGTTGCACAAGATCAGATGAAACCAGAACATCCATGAGCAGGGCTCTCCTGTTACCTGGGAAGCAATTAAGGCAGCCGATCCCAGTACTTGGGCCCCGAATGGCAGTGGAAGTAACACCATCTGCTACTACGTTTTGCAATGCATAAATTAAACAAAACTTCGAGTGGCGGAAGAAGAACGAACCACTGCCCAAGTACGGAGTCTACTCGCACAGAGATGACCAGGCAGCGATAAAAGACGGCCAGAAGCGGTACTAAGCGTACTAAGGCCAATGAAGCATGAAAGTCATTGACGGCCCTCTTCTACTTAGACAATCTTTTGCCAACCATTCGGAAACGTGTGGCGCAATCCCAGTCGGCCTATGCAGATGAGGTTCTCCCACAGGTTGCACCACGAGGTAGCCCTTCACTTGATCAGCGACACAATTACACCAAATTTGCATACGTCCCAGTTAAAAGCTATAAAACGCAGACGTACAATGCCCCAGAATCGGCGACAGACCATCGAGACGAGATGTGTGGAAACAATTGCTTATAGGGTCACACAGAGCAGGCCTAATTACGATTATGATTATGATTATGGGAGTTTAATGGGGTAGGTAGACAGATGAACAGAAAGCACAAACAAAAAGGGGAATTTAGTTAGTGTGATCAGACATGCGGCACATCTAGGTCTCAACTTCCTGCAAGTCCTTTTGATTTCCTTGCGACTCAGAGCGATATGCAAGCTGATGGATCTTGAAGCCATACAGTCTGGGAAGTGAGAGGATACATATAGGTATGAATAAGGAAAGGGTACATCGAGTATAGGACCCACCTGGGCACAAACTTGGCCTTTGCTCGCTTGGGTCGCAGCTCCGGATTGACCATGAAGAGCATGTGGGGGAAGCCAGTGCCGAAGAAGGCGCCGTCCAGGTTGGCGTGCCGAGCGGACCTCGGAAGGTAGACATCGCTACACTTGGGACAGTACAGACGCACCATTTCGTCACCGGGATTGTCGCTCAGGCCGATGGGCAGCACATGCTGGCGCTGACAGAAGACGCGCGGGCATGTGCCAAAGACGCCCTTCTGGAACTTCTCGAGCATCAAGTCGATGCCGCGATTGGTGAGGATGAAGCGGGCGTGGATCAGGCCGTACAGCTTCTCGGCGCTGGCCTCCACATCAGCATCGGTCACATTATCGGAGCCGGAGCCATTGTTCAGGTCGAGGATCACCTCGAGGGCGCAGCGATAGTTGTTTACGTCCGTGTCCAGGAAGTTGAGGTTGAACTTGTCGTGGATGTAGTCCTCGTCCACCATTGCGAAGAACTCGTTTCCGCGCTGCCTGCAGAACCAATGGATCCAGGCGGTCTCGTCCGAGTCTGTCATAGCTGGAGCAAAATGTCCTAAAGGATCCTTAAACTATAATTTGATTTAGATTTGTATTTGCTGGGTGGAGTGTTTCCGACTGGGCTACTTGGGGCGGATTACTTGGTCCTATAAAATGCTAATGTTTGCTGTTTGTATTCTTCCTAGTGCTTTACATCGATTGCGCTGCTCGTTTGCCTGGCCGCCTGGACTCATGCGGAACCTCCAGTGCCCCAGAACCAGTATCTGCCCCCCAACCAGTCGCCGCAGGCGCCCTCCAACAACTACCTGCCACCCACGCAGGGCTTTCAGAGCCCCTCCAGCAACTACCTGCCGCCGCAACGCACTGGTGGAAATGGAGGCGGCATCGCGGCGCCCAGCAACAGCTACGGCGCCCCCATTGCCCAGCCCCAGAGCCAGTATGGAGCACCGGCTCTGACCGGAGCGATCTTCAAGGGCCAGAACGGTAACGGAGCCGGCGGCTACGGCGGCGGCAACGGTAATGGCAATGGATACGGACAGCGCGACGAGGAGCAGTACGGCCCGGCCAAGTACGAGTTCAAGTACGACGTGCAGGACTACGAGTCCGGCAACGACTTCGGCCACATGGAGTCCCGCGATGGCGACCTTGCCGTGGGCCGCTACTACGTCCTCCTGCCCGATGGTCGCAAGCAGATCGTTGAGTACGAGGCTGACCAGAACGGTTATCGCCCCACCATCCGCTACGAGCAGGTGGGCAACGGCAACGGCAATGGTAACGGAAACGGAAATGGCAACGGCCGCAATGGCGGCGGCTACGACAGCAATGCGCAGCAGGGCAAGTTCAACGGCTACTAGAGGGAAGCAGGAGGAGAGTAGAGATGCCTTCTGTGTGTTACCGAGTTAAGTCGACCCCTAGCTATACGATCTACTTCGTGGGATCGCTGGCATAATCCCTGGCCGAGTATTAAGTCCGATGCCAGGGGCAGCGGTTCCTCAACAGTTTGACAGTGACTGTCTTACTCCATCTATCTCTATCCCGCTCGTCTCTATATCTATCCCTCCCTCTAGTGGAGCGCCCGCCATTTTTGCCATAGCCAGGCGCGCTCCGTTCCCCCCTACCAGCTGTTCTGTTATCTCCACCACTGTCTCTATGCCACGTGCTCCATTTTGTATTTTTTGCCGTTTGTTTTGTTTAAGCGCCTCAATTGTGTTAGTCCACGCACACACCGTCACACACCGCACACAATCTCGATCACATCTATGACCATTAACGCATTCACACATTCATATAAATAAGCATTGTATTTAATTTTTAGCTGAGGAATTCCCAAAACGAGATGAGAAAATGGAAAACATGCAAAGGAAACGAACATATGAGATTTCTTGTGTATATTTAATAATTAAACGAATAAAGATGCATTTTTGTATAAAACAAAGTCAAAAAAAGAACAAGAACTACATCGTTTTTTATCCTGGAAAGCTGTAAAATTTCAGTAGAATAGAGTCTACTTGAGGACCCTTTCCAGTTGTCCCTGGCTGTTGTACCGATAGACCGGATCCTGCAGCTGACCCACGGTGGAGTACCTCAGCTGCGCCGTAAAGTCATCATCATCATCGACCTTCTGCAGTGCGCGGAATGAAACCCTCTGTATTTTGTTATCCTTCGAAACGATATAATAGCGACCCTCTCTTACGTTGGACTGCCGCTGGTTGGCCGAATCAGAAGTAGACGACTCCTCATCATCGGGATAGATGATTTTGAAGGCAGGATTAGGATCAGGATTAGGAGCACCGTATTGATTGGATGGACGGAGGGAGTTCCTGTTCGGAGAGTTTCCCAGATTGGAATTGGGCAAGACCTCCTCCTCGGGCACATCTAGTAGGGAGGGAGAAGGAGGCAAATAGTTCCATTGAGGCGTGTCTATTCGTCCAGCATGTTCCACGCGTTCCTTGGTGATCTTCACACCTGAACCCTGATTAGTACGGATGGGAGCGAAGTACTCGTTGGGTAGATTGAAGGGAACCCGTGGCTGCCATCCAGCCGGTGCATATGGAGCTCCCCGACTAGTAGGCAGCTCTCCTCGAACACTGGCCATCAAAGCAATCAATGGAATTATCTAAAAGGAATTCATTTTCACATATTTTGGTGTTAATCCAATAATCCCTTACCTTTGCCAGCATTTTGATGGACGTTACAATCGAAACTGCAATCAAATGTTTGGGACTTACGCATTTTTATATTAAAATATCTAAACCACTCGCATCGTTGATATGCCAGGCACGCGCCCTGTTCGGCTGACACACATTGGACGAGGCGATCGCATCTGTTGCATCTCAGGCCACATAGTCACGTATCCAATCGACAAGCAGAAAACGCAACAGAATCGCGTGAATATGACCTTTAGACAACGGATGAGCACATTTTTGGCACAGGCGCGACCGTTATCGGACAATATCATAAAAAATAGGTTTTCTCGTTACTAATAGTTACCTCTAAATTACCATTCGTAGAGTGACGTATTCATCAAGTTCAAAGTCATTATTTATTTAGAAAGGCTTCTTAACCAGTGTTCTTTCTCCAAATGCTGGCTGTCCTTTCAAATTTGAAAAAAAAAATACGTTACTTGCAGTTTACCATACGCTGGCACTATAAATCTACACGATCTATTTACTAGGGCTGCAAAACTAAAGGACCTAGAGGATTTAAATTGTGTGTCATTCCAGGCTCTAATTAATGCAGAAACTAGATATTCTCTGTTTTAAAGGATATTTTGCAGCTCATCGTCTGTCTACAGAGACCAAGAACTGGTACTGGGATCAGGATTTATATACAAACAAGAATAGACCAACAAAATGCAATCTAAAACAAGGCTTTTACTAATTACGTTTTAAAGCAGGTTGGAAAACAGTATCTTTATATAATATTAACGAAATTGGGTATACAAACGCCCATCGCCTGGTTGACAAGAAAGGAGTCTGCAAATACCAGCAACATTGACGACACAACCTGCGACTATTGAACAGTTTTGTTAAAACCGTGTTTTTGTCAAAACAAAAAACATACAAGTACTTAAAAGTATTTAATCCTGATTAAAATTGTTTCAGCAATCGTATAAAATTATGACGGCATGGCTAAATGTTCTATATAGCTAGTAATATTCGACGGAAGATCAAAATTGAACAAAGTGTTTACCAAACCTCGACGGAGAACGATTAACCTACTATAAGCCAAGGGGGAATTTCAATTTTCCACAGAAAATAATAAAAATTTAATCATTTTAGCACGGTTCAGAGTCAGTTTTTTTTTAAGTTCAGAGGAAAGATCGCACGGATCTACAAGAAGAATTTACAATCGTTAATATATTCCGCCATTTACCTCAAGTGTTAAATAGAGGGGGCTTAAGTGGGATAAGTTCATACGAGATGTTATTGTTGTTGAGGATCCAAAATTGCGCCAAAATTATGGGCATGGCTAATATGGCTATTTAGTTAATATGGAGGCCATGGAAGTAGATGAAAACGCTCCCCAGCTGTAAGTGTCCAATAAACATTCATGGGATTCATTAGGTAAATCCTCCTCCATTGATAGATACGTCCGCACGCCGGAGGATGTAAAGGCAATTGTGAAACATGCCAAGTTGGACGAGAGGCAGCTCACCCAAGTTACTCAGGCACTGTATTACCCCTCGGCAAATATTGTCGCCGACAATCTGCGTCTGCTAGAGCTCGATTCCCACATGCTGCATCACATCCGCGAGGGTCAGACGCTCCACTTCAAGGGTGGCCTTAATGAAAAGATCGTGCTCTGCACTGACGAGCGGACGTACGATGTTAAGGGCGCTGAGATCTCCAACAGCTTGTTGCTCGTGCCGGATTTAAAGTTTGGCGCTGCCACCAGCACATCCCCACTTAAGAGCCCGCGCACAGGCAATGCAAACGCTTCTCTGGAGCGAAGTCTCAACGACAGCACAGAAGATGACCTGGAAGTGCCTCGTACTCTGGAGCAGCGTTCGGTCCTGGCCGTGTTCCATGAATACTTTGAGTGCCGCGAGATCAAGCCCCGCTTCCGCAAACTGGGCGAGCTGCTTCAACTAACACGGTATTCGGGGCCGGAGAACGAGTATTGCATTGAGCGGAAGGTCCTCTTCAGCTATCAACAATTGCTGGACACGGTCCAGTGCAGTAGGGCACAATTTGAGGAGGGTCTACGGAACTTTCGCGCTTTGGAATTCGATGGTCATATACGCGTATTGGAATACGAGTACGAGTATCGAATAATCAGTCTGATGCTCGGTTTGATCAGCGAAAACTCCTGGGCCCTGGACGAAGTGGAAAGGGGGGAAACAATCAGCGCTTTGAAGGGCATTGCACCAGAGCCTGTAGTGACTGGGCTCTTTGATATATATACCATTCCCAGCGAGCGCTGTCCAGGCCAGTTCTCCTACCAGGAATCCCTGGTCGCTCGGATTGTCGCCCAGAACATTCTGCAGCCGGGGCTGCGTTTCCGCAATGAGGAATTTATGCGTTCCTGGCTGGAGGCCATGCCCGAGGGCATGTCCTGTGAAATGCAATATCTACGTGGTCTGGGAATCTGCGATTCGGAGGGGGCACAGCCTTGTATACGCTCGCTGGCCGAAGAGCGGCTTCCCACAAATCTCAACGATCGCATGAGGGATCTGTTCAAGACGAAACGAAAATGGACCCTGGAGGAGATGGAACCGTATATTGAGTAAGCACGAGTGGGTTTATCGTTATTTTCACTTGGTCTAATAACTACGTTTATTCTAGGTGTTTCACAACTCCAACTCTGTCTGTTTCCACTTTGCTGGCCAAGAACGCGCGCTCTCTGACAGAGGCTGGCGTTAGATACTACGTGTCGAAGCACTGATGAACTTATCCGGAACTTTATTTGTATAATCCTTTGTGAATCTTTTAAGTAAAATAATGTTGATTTAGGCATTTTTTTTCCGTTTGTTTCGTTGCTTTTTGGCCAGCTTCTGGTCCTCGATGGCCGCCTTCATGGTATCCACGGCACTTGTGGTATGACTCGTGGTTACATCAGCGTTCTCGCTGTTGGGATACTTGAAGCTGAAGCCTCTGGGGAAAAGGGGCTGAGCTAGGAGAGAATGGAGCTGTGCCCGCACTGTTTCCACGTGGACGCGATTGCGTCGTCGTTCTATCACAAAGGGATCCTCATCTTGGTCGCTGCCACTACACCAAATTATTATATTAGAGCAGACTCGAATGTGGTTTCATGTAGACTTACGACTCATCGTTGTAGCCATCAATGATCATGTCCATTTCCTCGGCGTGCTTCTTCATCCAGCCACGCTCGCTCTGAACCCGCTTGAGTTTCAGCTCCTCCTTGTCCAGGTCACGAGCTAGGTTTACACGCTCTCTCACACCGGCCAAAAAACGCTCCGAGATGGGGAATAGTGGCAGATCCTCGGCTGCAAGAATAAATTGTGTGTGAATAAGATGTTTCGCGATATCTAAGTATCACTCACTTCTCTCTAGTGTTTTGTAGAGCTTCACGTAACTCCTGACCTCGCCAGGTTCCATGAACATGACGGTTATTCCATGCTTATTGGCTCGAGCAGTTCGGCCCGAGCGATGAACATAGTTCTCACTGGTGCGTGGCACCTGATAGTGAATGACATGCTCCACATTCGGAATGTCCAGGCCACGGGCAGCTACATCTGTGGCGATTAGCAGACCTGTGGGACAGTCGCGGAAGCGTTCAAGGTTCTTCAGGCGCTGCTTCTGAATCATGTTGGCATGGAGGGGAAGAGGACTGCAATCCAGCAGGCCAAAGATCGTGGCCAGACGCCTCACACAGTCTATGGAGTTGCAGAAGACGATGGTGCGGCCGGGATGACGCTGGATGAAGTAATATAGATAGAAGTCCTTCTGATCGATGGGACACAGCAGACGGCTTTCGGTCAACGTTTGAGCGGTTTCTGTCAGAGATCATTAAAGGTTTATTGTGGATGCCATTTGGGGTTTTAATGAGATCTACTCACGTTGAGTGCTGGTTATATCTACAATTTTGGGCTGAGATATGCCGAGCTCCTCAATGAGGCTTTCGATTTTCTGATCCACCGTTTGCTTCACAAACTTGGGACGCTTTCCCACATTGCGCTCTACGAGAAGAAAATTACATATATTTTGACATCGATGAAAGGTTTCTCTATCTTACTCTGCATATGATCTGGTAGATCATGGACCAAAGTCAGTGTGGCGGAGAAAACAAAGTTTTGGCGTTGTTGCTTCTTTTGCTCGTCTGCGTTGAGCACCTTGAGAAGGCTCCTAAGCTCTTCGAAGTGACCCTTCTCGACCATACGATCCGTTTCGTCGATAACCAGGAAGCTCAAATCATCCAGTTTGTTGAGGTGCTGGTTGCCCTGGGCAAACAGTTCCCAGAGGCGGCCGGGGGTGGCCACAACGATCTCCGGACACTGCCGGAGCACACGTTCCTGCTTGGCTACGGACAGGCCCCCGAAGATAGCAGCTACTTTGATTCCAGTGTATTTAGCTGCAGACACCAGGTGATTCTTTACCTGGACGGCCAGCTCCCGAGTGGGTGTTAGCACCAGACCGTACAGGGGAGTTTGCTTGCGCTGTTCCCGCTCTTCGGCGTCGCTGTCCTCATCGCTGGCACCAGACACGTGGTCCAGCTCGTCAGGCGGCGGCGTCAGTTCATGCTCATCGTCGGCTGGCGGAGCTATTGGCGCGCCCTTCACTTTGGGGGCCTTGCGAATGCCAGAACTAGCATTTCTCTGCTTCAGCTCCATAATTCCAGCCAGCATCGGAATGCCAAAGGCCAGGGTCTTTCCACTGCCCGTTTCCGCAGCTCCCAGGATATCCTTTTTGCCGTGGATGGCAGCTGGCAGAGTCATGGACTGAATTTGCGTGGGTGCCTTAAAGCCCTGTTCAGCCAGTGCTCGAAGAATGTTAGATGGCACTCCCAAGCCATTCCAAGCGGACAGTTCATCCTCGTATTCAGTCGAAGCGGGCACAAGCTGAGGTACTTCTTCATCACTCGAGGGCTCCGCTGCCTCCTCATTTTCATCGTCCGATTGTGGAGGTCTCAACAGTACATATTGACCTGAAGGATTCTCCTCGTTGTCGTCCGACTCCGAACCATCTTCTTCTTCAATATTTTCCTTTTTCAGCTTTCGCGATTCCTTTCGCTTTTGTCGTTTCTCTTTCAGTTTTTCTAGTTTCTGTGCATGACGTTCGGCTTGACGCGCCTTTCTGGTGGACTTGGCCGTAAACACCACCTCGTCCTCGCTTTCCGATTCACTGGAGCTCTCACTGGCCTCCTCCTCCTCCTCAGTCTTGGATACCTTCTTCTTTTTACTCTTCACCTTCTCTTTTTTATCACTCCTTTTAGAGGCTCTCTTCTTTGAAGACTTTACCAGCTCTGCATCGTAATCCTCCAGAACTTCCAGTCCAATCAGGCCCTCGTAGCCGCCAAACTCATCGGAAATCACGTGGCCCTTTATTTTCACCTTTTGCCAGTTCTCTGCCTTATCATTTTTGATCTCCTTGTTACCTTTCTTTCCTTTCTTTGTTAGCTTCGCGGTTTTAGCCGTTGACACCATTTTTATGAATTAAAATAAAAATTATTCAAATCAAAATTTAGCCGCTGACCGCGTGTTTATATGTTGTCTCGACAGGGCTGTTATGCAGCATACAGCTGTTTATATGTTGAGTCGACAGGGCTGTTATGCAGCATGGAACAGCTGTTCAGTGTTGTGCAATATATACAGAGTTGCCTATGGCGATGGCAGAAAATTCCGTTAAATTAAACGGAATGTACACATTTCTTTTATTTACAAAAATAAATATTTTAAAGTTTGGTTTTTATTCAATCGTGGTTTTACTATACAAATGTCGACCAATTCGTTTAACAAGAGGCTTAACCGATTTCTAAACGGCTTACTGCTCGCCAGTCACGCCCAACTTCTTCTTCAGGGATTCGGGCATTTCTGGTGGAGGTGGACGTGGCATGCGGAGAGTAACCTTGACGGCATCGTAGATGAACCACTGTGCAGCAGTCAGAGTACCGATCATCACAATCCTAGGCACCAATCCGCCCCAGAGTCCTGTAGAAAAGTAGAGTTTAAGGCAAGGGCTTACACAAAACCAGAATCACTACTCACCAGCCCAGCCCAGCTGTTTGGCCACATCCAGGGCGGAGGCGCCCTTAGCCTGGTTCAGTTTGGAGACCACTGTGTCGGCGGGATGCGAGACAATGGCGCAGAAGACACCGGCAATGTAGCCAGCGGCGAAGGTGACTATCAGTTGCTCGCCCTTGGTGCAGTCGGCACGTGGCTTGGGAACCACATACTTGTACAGCAGCTCGAGGGTGCGCTCGAAGCAGGCGAACTTCATCATGGTGTATGGAATCTGTCGCATCCAGAGTGGGACCAGACCCTTGTAGAAGGCGCCAATGCCCTCCTGGGCAGTCATCTTGGGCAGAGCCTCGCGCAGCGTCTTGGCGAATCCGGGAGTGGTCTGAATCTTGACCTTGGCCGCCTCCATGGGCGCCAGGGCAATATCGGCGAAGAACTCGGCGGAGGCCGAAGAGGCCAAATAGAGGCCGGTTCTATACAGGAAGGCGTTCTCCTCGCCAATGGCATCGCCGTAAATGACTTTGAAGACCTCGTACAGACCGAACTTGCACAGGCCCTGCATGGAGTAGCCGATGAAGGTGGGTGCCCATCCCTTGCCCAGACCCCTCACACCCTCCTCGGCCAAACTGACCCGGAAACCGTTGAACACACTCTTGTACTTGGCCGGATCCACCTGCAGGCGGCACTTGACCAAATCCAGCGGCACTACCATGGTGTGTGTGGAGCCGCAGGAGATGATGCCTCCCAGGCCGCACAGCAGGAAGTATTTGTTCGATCCGAACTCGCAGGAATCTAAACGGAGCCAGAGATTAGAATGGTTTCCCTGGATCGTCATCCATCCACTTACCACCCAGAGGAGCGGCGGCGGCGGCGGCAAAGTTGTGGTTGGGGCTATGTTTGCGGGGCGAGACATCGTCAAGGGCCGAGACTGACGGGGATGCCACTTTAGAGAGCGCAAGGTCGGAGGCAGGAGTGGCAGCCTGGCAGTTGACGCTGGTGAACGGCGACCTGAACGATGAGCTCTGCGCGGACTCGAAGATTGATTTGAACATATTGCCAAGAGAAGGTGCTAAAAGAGATGGGAACACGGAGGGAGGAATTAGGATGCTTTAAGGTTAAGGTCATGATGTAACCGAACGGATTCCATATACATAGAACAGAAAGCATACAATGTGATCTTTGTTCCATAATCACTTATGAACGGAACGGAAGATATACTTCCATTTTCGAAAAATCCGAATAGTTTAACCGTTTCGTTTTGACAACATTCATTTCGGACTCATGGTTTCAATTCCTTTTTTACATAACTATTGTTTTCTTTCTCTTGCAAACACTTCATCACAGCATTAAGAATTGCGTAATAGTTTGTTCCCAGTGAGAATCGGTAGCGTAGCACTTTGCTTACAGTTCGAAAAACTTTGGAAAACCAGAGGCCTTTGGGGAATCGAAAAAACACTCACTTCAAAGTGCTGGGGATCGGAAGTGAAGTGCAGAAAGGCCTGAAGTGTAGATGAAGTAAAGTTGTGTTGTTGGGCTGAAATTAGAGGACCCAAAACAACGTTCGTCGCGCGCCAGACCAGAAAATCAAATGCAGCAGTTGCAATAAAAAATCTAGAGCTTGCAGCCTCCCGCCCAGGGTTGTCAAATGCGATCACAACGAATCGGTTTAAGACGGTTACGAAACGGTTACGGAGAGGTTTATTAACTGACATGAAAATGTTGTGGTCAAGAAGAAAGAAGGCATTAAGGTAGGGTATCTCCCAAGCATGGTTAGCCTTCAGGTAACCTGACAACCCCTGAGTAGACATTGTTATTTATAAAACGACAGAACAGATTTTGGCCAGCGTCTGTCTTTGCTTATAGACTGTATATGTGTAAAAATACATTCATTAACGCTCGCGGCCAGCTGATCGGAGGACGAGAAATTGGCAATACAATCGATTGAACGATTCGCTCTGGATCAAGGTTAAGATCTTTTGTTTTATGCAAAATTTAAACATTTTATTTGAAACGTACAATGCTAGATAATATTGTATGTATTGTATAAGTATTTAGTACTAAAATCGGTAGTTAGTAACTTTATGGACATAGGATTTATTACAAAAAAATGGTATACGTGTACGGCATCGTGTCGTACAATTGCTTTGCGGGCAGTAAGTACAATTCTGCGATTGATTGGTGCTTATCGAATAAATGCTAAAAATATTGGAAGTAGCTGCATAATGTAGTAATACTTTTTGCAATAAATTACATATGTTAAAATACTATAAATCGAATACATTAAAATGGCAGAAACAACGTCATCACTAAATTGTTGGTGTTAAACTCTCACTTTTCAGAGGTTGTAACAGATATACATGCACATTCGTGGACATTCGTGGTGTGGATTACACTGTAGTCGACATGGTATCCGGGGCCCAACTTCCGGGGGTGGGCGGCAGTTGAACTGCCCGTGGGGGTCACTTAATTTAGTTGGCAAACAAGCGGACATCTTACTCTACTAAAACTTAACAGTTCTATGTGGACTACGACTCGGCGGTCTCCATGTGCCGATGCACCGTTACTGGGGCCAGTATGTAGTGGGGTCGCGTCTCGTCACCTTCAACGGCGCACAGGGGCAGCGTTGTCTGGCCATAGACGCCGCCGCCCGGTGGTCCTCGACAGGGCGAGGGCGTGGCCTGCATCTGCTGATGCTTGTATCGCTCCGTCTTCGAGGTGGGCTGATTGCTCAAGTAGGGATGAGTGTTGGGCTGTGTCGAAGACTGCTGGCGATTGGTTGGACTGGATATAGAGGTGGATATGGACATGGTGTCCGACTTGCTGTGCCGCTTATCGTTCAGGAGCAGCGGCTCGGCCAAGGTGAAACACTGCTGGTCGGAGCTGTCCTCGTGCGGAGTCATGGTGCTGTAGCCATGATCGGACTCCCCGTTGGGCGGTCGTCGGTAGCTGCTACCGCTGGAGACGTGATAGGGCGAAATGTCCGCCGCATGCATTAGCTGCCGCTGGGCGGCCGTGTGATCGTAGCCCCCTCCGAGCGGAGGCTCGTCGTGGGCCTTGCAGTCGTCAAAGTTGAATCTCGACAGCGGCAATCCGTAGTTCTCCTCCTGAACGGAGTCTACATAGAACTGTTCCTGGGCCTGGGAATCCAAGTTGTGCCTGTAGCAGTAAATGGCAAACGCAATGACTATGGCAAGGACGACTACGGCACCCCCGAGGGGTCCAAAGGCGGAGTAGGCATGCTGCTCTCTCTGGGGATTATGGGCAGCTAACAGCTCCAGCTCGTCGAGCTCACCATAGGGCGTCAATGAAGCCAGCACACCGTTGAAGCAGCTGGCCTGGGAGGCACAGAAGGAGTTACTGAAGCTATTTCCCTCCACATCCTGCTGGCACCACTCGCAGCCCATCACGCCCAGGCACTCCCTTTGGCTGGAGTACGATTCGCAGCCTCCCGCTACCACACAACTTGGCAGTCCGCTCAGCAACTGGGTGGTCGGGGGCAGGGCTATAAAGTGCTCGCTGGGAGGCGAACAGTATGGGAAGTGTTGCGTGTAGTTGGCGTAGTACTCGAAGGACGAGGATGTGTTTCCGTCCCCCACCATGGGGCACTCGCAGGGGCATTCGCAGTCCGTCTGATCCATCCGCTTGCAGTTGAGGCACTCCCGGTCGATGGTGCTGCACGGACAGAAGGCTCCTCCGTCGCAGCTGGAGTTCAGCACGGCGGCAAAGAGATTGCTGCCCCGGATCAGGGCAATGGCGTACTTGGTCCGCTCGCCGTGCACCACGTTGCCCAGGATGCTGGCCAACGAGGTGTTGAAGGCGTAGTAACGCTGCAGAGTACGGTTCTGGTAGCTGGCGCAACCCAGTTTCCGCACCAGCTGGCCGTGGTTGAGCATGTCGTTGGCCAAGTAGGACTCCTTGTGTGTGAGATGCTCGTGCGGTCGCCTCTGATTCCTCGTGGGCGTGGCCGGCTGCAGCATGCTGGGATGGGCCAGCAGGTAGCCCTCGTGTTCGAATATCAGGCATTTCATGTGCGGCAATTGGCACAGCGGCGTGCTCTCCAGGATCAGGCGATAGTAGAAGGCATACGGTACATCTAGGGCGACCACACCCACCGGCCTGTCCTGCTGGGCCGAGTGGAGGGCATGCGCCTTGCCCTCGAAGATGGTGTGCGCCAGGGTGACGATGTATCCGGCTCCGCCCGCATCCAGATACGGGGCTGTGCTCACAATTTTTCCCGGCTGGGCCATGGCCTGACGGAACCATGGCCTCCGAGTGGGATCGTAGCTGCTGCTGAGCAGGCAGCCAGGATACAGCTGGAGCACTCCACTTACACTGGCCATGTATCGTCGAATGATGTGATCGCGCAGCGATCCTCGTGTATCCTGATGCCGACGACGCAGCTGCTGCAGGGCCTGGTAGAGCATACTCACCTCATGCCGGATGCTGGGTCGCAGACCGGGATTGGCCAGCACGTCGGTCGGCTCCTTTAGATACGCCATAATGTTTTCCACATGTCGGAGCTGTGTGCTCGGGCGGTTGTTGTGCAGGAATCCGAATGGCGATTCAAAGGCAGCTGCGCTAAGGAACAGCGTGGGTGCATCTGCAAGAGATTCAAGTATGTAATCCATGCGGGATGGCTCTTTTATGGGATGTGCCCGATGTACTCACCCATTGTGGCCATTTGTCTGAAGTAGCGACAGATCTTAGGCACTGCAGTCCCGCCCTGGGCGAGGTCCAGCCGATGATATAGCAAGTCCATGCTCTCTCCGTAGTAGCCAGGCTCGTAGTTGGACACGGTATCCTTCAGGTTGTATCGTTGCGCGGAATCATTCCGCATGACATCGCTGCCACTACTCACCAAGCACACCACGTAGATGCCCAGCACTGATTGCCAGTGGTAGGTGCGCTGCAGCCGCTGCTTGCCGAGATAAACTTCCGTTGTGGCATTGCCACTCTCCTCGTGCAGGAGGCGCTCCCGAATGTGACCGGAGAAGTCCGTGGCGTTCTCTAGGTAAGCAATATTCACGGGATACGAGGTCTCTCGCTGGATGAGCGGGCGGGGAAAGGCCGGGTGGGCCAGAGTGTTGCCCGAGGAGCGATCGAGGAGGAAGGCATAGCCACTGCCCTGCCTGGCACTGGGAGCAGCACTGGGGTAGTTGAGCAGATCCTCTAGCAGATCCGCCAGGTACAAGTTGACTCCTACAACACCATATGGAGGCACTGCATGCGTTATAGAGACCAGAACATCTGCGAAGGGGAGGAATATTATAGAGGATTGTGGAAAAGAGTGCACAGAGCTCTCACCTCCGCTCTCTGCATCCACAATGGGAGGATGGACCTCCAACGTGTCCGTCAAATATCGTTCCACGAAAAGCTGGCCAAAGATCCGGGAACTGGTTTGCGGAAGCAACGTCTCCGCATGCATTTTACTGAGCACAAAGAAGCGCCCAGCCAACTGAGAGGGCTGTTGTCCAATGGGCCACCATTTTGTCACATTAATTTCGTATTTTGTATAGTTCTGGGTAGCCACATCGCTGAGGAATTGCTTTTCGTACATAATCCGCTTTTCATCCAGGACAACGGCGCAGGTATTGATGATCACTGGGGCTTTGAGGTGTCCCTGGCCTTCAGCAACCACTCGAAGAACAGCCATGGCATCCGATAAGTTGGTCAGGAGGCCACGCGTCACATACACAAACTCTACTGGTTGCTCCGCTGTGTTAAGCATTCCTGATTTCTGGAGGCGTCGGAGCAGATGAAATGCATACTCGAATCCCAATGTATGGTTGGTTAGAGCGTGGGCACGGCTCAAGCTGTTCACATAGCTAAGTATCTCTTCCTTGTGGGCACGGGTGGCACCATACACTCCGTGCACAGCTTCCGACGGGAAGGCATCCAGAGCCATAATGTTCGCCTCGCTGGCAACCGTCACCAGCGAGACTTTATCCGTGTCCTCTAGCAGCTGCAGCATCTCGTGAACTGCAAGAAACTCAAACTGTGATCTCTGAAGCTGAGGAAGAGGTCTAAATGTAATATTTACCAAAGTTTTTAGTGAGATCAAACAACTCGGCGTTCAGAGCCGATCCCACATCGATGAGGAGCAGCACAAACTTTTGCTTGATGGCCGAAACATAGAGCTGTCGGAAGTGGAGGCTAGCTGGGGCTCCATCGGAATTGGACAGGAAGTATATGTGCTTGAAGTGGTTGCCGCTGGTATTTGAGGCTTCTGCATCGCTCAGGCTGAGCCTCCTTTTGAGTTGGAATAGCTGATCGGATATGTAACCATTGACAGCCAATGATCGGGCATTGTTTTCATTCAGGAATGCGCCGCGCGCATCATCCGGCTTGAGATAGTTGAGGATTTGTATCTGCTGCTTGTTATAATGGAGAGACTGGGACGTGGCAGAGGAGGCAGTGTCCAGATCATTCTCATAATCAGGCTGACAATTCTCGATTTGGGTGTTTAAATAGAGCTGATTCTGGGTTTCTTGATCTGGTTTCTTGGCATGAAAGTCTTCCATTTCCGAATCCATGTCAAACTCACTCTCCAGTTCCTCGTCCTCGTCATCGTAGCTGTACTGCAGAACTTTGCTGAGATTATAGCGAAACAGATCGCGCAGCTCCAGAACTAAGTGGGTGGCTTTCAGGAGCTTCTTGCTGAGACGCTTGCTAAACAGCTTTAAATCCCGCTGCAGTTGGGGATTGGCCTGCGCGCTGTCGTTGGTGAACGACTGACGAGCTGGTGCCGCTCCGTTTGCACTGGTAAAGTGTATAGCGTCAAAGATTTCCTAGGAATGGCCGGGATTAGACGGAAGTTCATCGGGAAAATCGGCTGGGACACTTACTTGTATTTTGGCCACTCGCATCTCCACATTGCGTATGCTGCGTAGCTTGCTCTCCATGTTGTGTCGCAGCTGCATCACGTTTTGCTGATTATAGTTGGTAAAGAAAACGCTCGCCGACGTCTGCTGGAGAGGCATAAAACCAGCAGCTCCTTCGACCCCCAAGTCTGTAGGCACTTTGTTGGCATTGCTTGTTTTGTTGGATATGATTAGAGGAACGTGTTGACTGATAGTTGGAGACGCCAGCGCTGCCAGGACAAGCAACGCGATGTGCAAGCTGCTGCTGAGCCACATGTTGTATCAATCTTTTGGACAATACTGGCACACTGGCCACTGGCACATAAACGGGTTACCGCATCACTGAAAACAGGAACCAATTCAAGTTCACCTAAAGATTGGCCAGTAAAGAAGTCAATATTACCTACCTACCTATATCCCTTTTGTCTTCCACGCTGTCTTGTTTATGGAATTTCTGTTAAGATATGTGTATGCTTCGTCAGCGTGCGGCTCGGCAAATGAGTGCTCATTGGTTGAATGAATTGGAGCAGCTTTCTTTCAACATTTAATCACACTTTTCATTCTATTTTAACTTAAAATAGTAGTAGTTTATTTAGTTTTTAAAATTTTTTTTTAATTTTTCTTCATTTCATTGTAAATACTGCGGCCAGTGTGACTGCCCTTAGGAATATACCAAAATATACCGAAATATACCAAAATATACCGTAAATATACTGACGAATTTAAGTTCTTTACATATTCCCCGTTTTTGATCTTCCGTCGAATATTACTAGCTATATAGAACATTTAGCAATGCCCACATAATTTTATCTCATTGATGAATCAATTTTCTACTTAACTGGCCAGTTTTTAGTCCTTGCTTTTATTGTATTTATTGTAAAAAAAGGTTTAAACAAAATAGTTCAACATAAAAAGAGTCGCAATGTTGCTGGTATTGGATGACACGATGCGTGTATGGTCCTTTGTATACCCTATTTCGTTAATTTTATATGACGATATAACGTAATTTACAAAGACCTTTAATCAAATTGATATTCTTTAGACATATTCAAGTACATTATAAGTGTCTTGTATATCTTTATGTCGATCCTGATACCCACTGAGCCTTGGAAGACAAACATTATCTCAGTTCTATAACATCCATTTCCCCCAGGGTATGTGTGCATGGAATTAGCAACATGTTTGTGTATGGAATGAGACTCATTGTTGCAATAGCGAAACTGCGGCGAATCGGGTATTGCCTATATTTCAAGCTATATAGATTTGCCCACTTAGCTTTATCCCATAGATAAATGCATTTTCTACAAGATTGCTTCTTTTAATTACCTTTATGTATTTTATTTTGACCAAAAAACGGTTTTCAAGTAAATGTTGCCGCAACTTTTGTGTATGGAATGCGCAACATTTGTGTATGGAATGAGACTCATTGTTGCTAAAGCGAACTGGGGCGAACTGCGGCGAGCTGCGGCGAATTCAAATTTCTCATATTCTTTGTTCCGTTGAATAATACTATCTATATGGAAGATTTAGCCATGCCCACTCAATTTTGTACGATTGATGAATCAATTCTATACATGATTGGCCTATTCGAAATACTTGCATTTATTGGATTTTTATATAAAATTGAAAATTAAATTAATAGATGACAAAAATACTAAAAAACACCACATGGGAGCGCGGCGAAAACCAGTTTCTACAGTATATACGGTCTCACTTGAAAAATATACCGAGTGGTGCGCGCCAAATCGAACTTTTTTGAATGTGAGCGACAAGGATTTAAATGTTGTCAACCGGGCCTTTATCTATGCCCACATAATTTTATACGATTAATGAAGCAATTTTCTACACAATTGGTTAGTTTGTAGTCCTTGCTTTTATTGTATTTTGACTAAAACACGGTTTTCAAGTAAATGTTGCCGCAACATTGTGTGGAATGGGACTCATTGTTGCTAAAGCAAAACTGCGGCGAATTCAAATTCGATTCAAAAAACGACCAATTCCTCATATTCTTTGTTCCGTTGAATAATACTATCTATATGGAACATTTAGCCATGCCCACTCAATTTTGTACGATTGATGAATCAATTCTATACATGATTGGCCTATTCGAAATACTTGCATTTATCGGATTTCTATATAACATTGAAAATTAAATTAATAGATTGATGAAATTGACAAAAATACCATTGGAGCGCGGCGAAAACCAAAATATACCGAGTGGTGCGCGCCAAATCTAACTTTTTTGAATGTGAGCGACAAGGATTTAAATGTTGTCAACCAGGCCATTACCGATTCAACAAATACGACGATTCCCTCAATTTTGATCTTCCGTCGAATATATGCTATATGGAAGATTTAGCACTGCCCACAAAATTTTATCCAATTAATTAATCATTTTCTTATATGATTGGCTAATTTTAAGTACTCCTTTTGATTTGATTTCTTATCAAATAAGGTTTAAGCAAAATCGGTCATTAAATATTTCCACTTAATTAATTTACTTACATGGCAACTACACGCTAAGTACACATTTGCTACATTTGCACTGCACCGTCATAGCTTCCAGCTTTGTTAGTTCAACGCAGCCAAATTGGTATCATAGTAATTATCTTTGACTGTATAGCCGACACTCGCAAGAAGCATTAGTTCGTCTTGAGAGAGACAGAGATAGAGAGAGCCGCTCTCATCCAACAGCAGCTTAAAAAAAAAGGATGAATAGCATCCAGCTCAATACTTTAATAGCGGTCAGCTTAAGTTTGACACCTCTGTTTTACGTTAGAATAAAAAACGTTGAAATGATTTTGAATTTTGATTGTGTGTTCGGAGTAAAAAGGGAACAATTTAAAATAATGTTATGATTATGATTTTCATATGGATCCTACATACATATACATACATATCAAATGGACCCTCGAACTCTAATCAAATGATACATGATACAAAGTAAGGTATTCCATCCATAGATAAATGGGTTATGAATTAAACGCCCCTTATCAATTGTCAGCGTCCCATGGTTAATAATATTTCGATCCATAGAATGTCTGATGAGAGGCCGATGGAAATGCTACCCACTAATTACTGAGTAAACCCTGCTTGCCCACAAACGAGCATTGACAGTGTAATTTGCTTCCGATATCCCCAATTACATTGAATAAACATTTGGCATAAGCCAGAAATTCATAATTACAGTCGTAGGCCTACTATGAAGGTAGCTCGTTGCAGGTAGAAATGGTAAAATGTCACAATTATGGTCTAGGCCCGGTCAGTGGGGACGGTCCTGCCGCAAATTGAGTGGGGGCGTGGCAATTGTTGGGTAAACATTGGACGGCATTCGTGTGTTGCGGTCACGGTAACACATGTTCGCCTTCACATCTCATCGAGTGGCATGAAAATTTAATTTTTATTGGCCGAACGATACAATTTAGAGCCGTTGGGGGCACAGGCGTTGGATGGATAGATACATTTGTATCTCATTATACGTCTCGCTAAAGCTTTAATTATTTTCATTTTGTTTTCTGTGCGCATTTCTGGTGCATCATCGGCTATGCCAAATATTTGCAACAATTTGTCAGTAAATAATTTCGAATTGTTCTCCGTCTGCAGGGCAATCCAAAGAAATCTAAAAAACGCGCTCGCTCAATACGAAGAGAGTACAGATGCAGATGCAGATACAGATGCAGATACAGATGTCTCTTGTATCTGTGTCCGTGTCTGCCTCTGAGGAACGCTGAGAACTGCAAATGGGAATGATGAGAACGAGGAATGAGGCTGGGGCTGCGGCTGGGGATGGGGATGGGGCTGGGCAACATCCCCGGGTGTCAACAGCGCTCTGATTTATTTGAGCGCATTCAACGCTTCGTTGCATTTCGTTAATTTGCCCGTTTTCCGCTGCCAACGGAGAACCAGCCAACAAAAATGCTGTCTCCCCATCTCTCCCCAACCCATCCCTGACAATCGTCAAAAAGAAAATAAACAACTTTCATCATAATCAGAAAAACCAAAAAATTACCAACGAGCCGCATAATTATATTGTAATTTATGCAACCATCGAATTTGTCAGAGTGTTTGCCAATGTTCAGCGCTCGTAAAATATTTCAAACACCCGCACGTGAGTGCGCTCCAATCAATGGGAGGCTCGTTTGTTATGGCCAAAAATTTGGTCAATTACGATCAATTAAGCCATAAACATGCAAATTATTATAACTATTGCCACCTGCCTTGGGCTGCCTTTGGAGGAGTGTGAAAAACGCTTGGCATATCAATGATGGAGGCCCCTCTGGGCGTGGTCTATGGGCACTGCGGATGCGGAAGTGCTGGCAGGGGATATGGAGGTCGAAATCTATCTTGGGTCTATGGAGGTTTCGTGGATCTGAAGTACCTAGAACCACTTTATTATAGGAAACATACGAATATCTATGCTGTAGTTAACCGATAATGATTCAATATAAATACATAATGGAGACAGAGTCTAGCCTCATTCAAGCATATGCGAACTTTAACCCCAGCAAAACCTGCTACGCTTCAATTAGCTGCAGCTATGAGCGGAACCCACAAATGGAATACTTCATCAGTAAATAAAGATACTATGTAGAGAAATGATGGGCACTAGTGCCTTCTTGAGTGTCTGCTAATGATGCCTGACTGTCACACCCCCTTTGAAACTGATGTTTGAATTTAAATTGGTCACTAATATGCCTCGTGAGAGCCGCAACGCAACCCATTCTCCACTCCCCAATCCCCCAGCCAGTGTCCGCCATTTCCCTCCACTCCAGCTCAACCTCTCCTCTGCTCCTCAGCAGGAGGACTAACGACGACGGCGCATTAATGGCAGGGCGTTCTGCCGTAGACATAGTCCGGCGATGTCTGATTACAGAGCGATTCGAGCAGAACGCAATTAGGGAAACGGGGTGGGCAGCCAGGGGGAATCAAGCAGAGGTTTGAGGGGGAGCTGCAACAGACAAACTGGTTCGCTGTGCCCTGCCACACGGCAATTAGCCAACGGCCAATGGCAGCAGCGCGGCAGACAACTTGTCATGCGCCATATTGGAAAGAGGGCGGAGCCATGTATCCGCTTTGGCCGTGTGTGAGTGTGTGCACGAGTATTTGTGTGTGTGGCACTTGGTGGTGCTTTCTCTCGACCCTTGGGTGCCGTACGTGATGTCTGGCTGCGACTCGACAGTTGCCCGCCGATCTCTGAACGGTTCACTGCGCTGACGCTGACAGGCCTCGCCTTGGAGTTGAACATTTCTTGGGTGCATTCTTAGAGTTTTGTGAGTCCGCGCGTGTATAGTTTCTGTGCCCGTGCCTGTGCCTGTGCCTGTGCGTCTTTGCCGGGGGAAGATGGAACGGCCTGCCCTGCTGCAGAACGGGGAGCACGGCGGTGTGGGAAGCCTGGAGACGAAGTCGACCACCAGGCTGGTGCCCAAGCCCTTCTCCATCGAAAGTCTGATTGCCACCCAAACACCTGCCACTGTATCCGCCTCGGCATCCGTATCCGCCTCACCGCCGTCCCCGCCGGAGGATCACGAGCAGGAGCAAGAGCAGGAGCTAAGTGCCCGGGCCATGGTCGCCAGCTCGGCCCTGGGCCTCACCCAGTTCCCGCTCTACAATCCCTGGCTTCACGGCTACTTTGCCCAGAACCACGAGAGATTAACGCATTTAATTGCCGGCGGCGGCTGCTACCTGGGATCGCCCGTTGGCAACCCCTTTGCCGGCAAGGAGCCATCGCATCCTCATCCACCACCTCCACATGCCTTGGACAAGTCGCCGCTGCCCCACCCGCTGGACACACGCTTCCTGCCCTTCAATGCGTCTGCCGCTGCCGCCGCCGCCTCCGCCGCTACTCCGACGGATCTCAGCTATCGCCGCCTGGCGGAGCTCATGAACCAGGATTACGTCCACAATCTCAGTGTTAACGCTCGCCTGCAGCACATGGCCGTCGCGGGTCGCCTGCAGGACGATCACCCAAGCCACAGCCTGATGCACCTGCAGGAGCCGATGCTTTTACAGGCCAATCCATTCTCGCCAGCAAAGTCCGTCAGCCACAGCCCTGTGGAACCCACACTAGATGTGGGCGTGGACGAGGACTACGAGTGCAGCGGCGACTCCAGCAGCGACATCAGCCTTACTTTATCACCGATGCCAAGGAACTCCAACAGAGAGCTGGACAAGAGTCGCAATGGAGGTGGGTACCAGAGAGCTAGCGGGAAAGCAGTTGAGTGTTTGAGACACTCTTCAGGCACTTTGATATAGGTCTTGCTTGGAATTGCAGTGATAAATACTTTTTGTATTTAGAGATCATTTGGAATATCAGAAAAACTTTGGGTAGAAGTGTCAACGGCTCACAATCTGTCTGTGTTTTTCCACCAAATCATGTTTGAAGAAAGGAAATATTGCACAGTCGTCTCTTGAGCGCAGGCTTTAGGCATATGTATTAATAATTACATTATTAGTGAAATTGGACAGAACCATGGAAAATCGTTCATATAAAGTGCCAAGTTTTTAAATTGTTCATTTTCAAAAGTCTTACGTATTTGAAAGAGTCAGCCCCAGAGGAAATCGGTTGATTTTTGCTAAAGTTTTGACTGGAATAAGGACGTCCTAAAGATATTCAGCACTGAAATAGCTCTAATAGGAATGATGGGTATTCTGATATGTAGAAAGGTGCAACAATCCATCCAGACATAGCTCTGCTTAATAGTACTGAAAGAACAATTTTCAGGCAAGCCAAGTCTGGACAAAAACAAGAGTAATTCAGGTGAGAGGGGGAGAGCAATCACACCTCTCTATCGCAACTTAAATGCCACAAATGCTCGTAAAATAACTTGTACTCGTAAGTGCTGCAGCACTCACTCCAATGTCAGGTTTCGGATCATATTCGTATGAAATCTCCCATTCCCTGCCTATCCACCCTCACTGGCTCAGCCTTGTCCCAGTCACAGTCACAGTCCCAGTCCTTGGCCAGTCCGTAGACTGCTGTCTAATGTGGTTTTGTCATGGTAATTAAAATTGAGGCTGCCAAGTCATAATCAGAATTAGCATAAAGCGCATTAAGACCCAATGTTCGGTGTCAATCAAAGCTGTGAAAAGTTTTCACAACTCTTGCTCTGTGATAGGGCTCGGTCAGCCCTCTCAGCAATAGAAGACAGAACATCCGCAACAATAGGCACAGTCACAGACGCAGTCGTGGATGGTGTGCTGACGTTTTGACAAACATGACGATTTGGCCCTGCCACTCGAATGGAAGGAACATACTCAGCTCTCAGTCAGCGTTAGCGTAGAGAATAGACCTCCTCATCCACATCGTAATAGGCCCAAAGTTGGGATGGATTCAAGTGCGTTCTCCTTGCCATAATCAATTTTCCAACAAAGCGGCTGAAAAGCGCAACAAATTTTCCACTAATATATTCATAACTGTATTTGAGTGGGTGGTTGACGGAGGGTGGTTGCTTTGTGCATTGGCTGGGTGGTGGTGGACGAGCAGGGACCCCCCTTCAATTCGAGTCCGATAAATCAGTGACAGCGAGGGCATGCGAAGCGTGTAAGTGTTAAAAAACCGCTTAGCCGTGTACTCAAAATTAACAGCCAGATGGGGATGGGGATGGGGATGGAGATGGGGATTGGGCTGTCACCCTCATTCGCATCTTCATCCTCCTCCAAGGAGACATTTAACTTTCACGCTCAACTTGGGAGACACCACAAACGACAGCTTAAGACAAACAGATTACGGCTCGAGCATTCCTGATGTCTTCTCTTCTGGGGGCTGAGGCTGGCACTGGGGCTGGCCATCATTCAGACACATGTATTCAGTTATAAATAAATATGCTTGCCACAAGTTATGACACAGGCCATTTACGCCAGAAGTCCACAAACTTGTTAGGGAGCCATTAAGAGGAAGCGATTCTTGAATTGGAAGAGGATGTGGACTAACAGGAGGACACTTTATTAAACATAATCGCATGATTTCACCCTGAAATTCACATATTGCTATTTGGAAACAGAGAAGAGATTTCAGGGCTACGATTTCCGAAATTCCAAGGGAAAGGAAATGGTAGAAAAAGAACAAAACCAATAAGAATGGTAACAAGAGAGTTTTAGTGCCTTAGTAGTTAAATAAAATAAAATAAATATTTGACCCTGGACTAGTTTCTTCCTCAAAACTCCTTTAAGCTATTCTCCACCTAATAACCTCTCTCTTCGAATCACCTTCCAGCCTATACCAATTCGGATAGCGAAGACTGCAGCGACGACGAGGGTGCCCACTCGCACCATGAAGCCAGCGGCCTGGGCGGTAAGGACTCGCAAGGCAACGGCAGTGGCTCCAGCAGCTCCAAGTCGCGTCGACGCCGCACCGCCTTCACGTCGGAGCAGCTGCTGGAGCTGGAGCGGGAGTTCCACGCCAAGAAGTATCTCAGCCTCACGGAGAGGAGTCAAATAGCCACAAGTCTGAAACTGAGCGAAGTGCAGGTGAGTTCGAGAGTGGATCTATGGAAAGAAATATCGCATTTATAGAGAACCGCATCCTCCATTCGCTAGGTGAAAATCTGGTTTCAAAATCGACGCGCCAAATGGAAGCGGGTGAAGGCCGGACTCACGTCCCACGGCCTGGGCAGGAACGGGAGTGCGAGCGGCACCAAGATAGTAGTGCCCATACCGGTGCACGTGAACCGCTTCGCAGTCCGCTCCCAGCACCAGCAGCTGGAGAAAATGTGCCTCAGCGGACCCAAACCGGATCTGCGCAAGAAACTATCGACGGAAGCGATGAGCGGCTTCGAAAAGTTCAATGGCGGCGGCCTGGGCGGCTCCGCCCCCAGCTCCAGCACTGCCTCCGTCGGGGCCGGAAGTGTGGGGATGGGGCTTGCATTGGGCATTGGAGTGACGACCCCCCTATCCCTGGGCCGCAGTATCTACTGATCGGGTTCTGCTTAGGATGTACATACACATAAGAAGGAAAAGAAACGATGTTCAGTTGTCATGAAGTTTCTTTTTTTGTAAATAAAACACTATAAAAATCGAATTCGGTTCCTGCCTACTTTTGGCCTCCACGATCTCTCATTATCTCATTATGAGTCGAGTGCGCGTACGAGTGCGAGTATATATGCAGCAAACCACATAAACGGACATAAATCCTGCAGGATGGGGATGGTTGCCTGAGAACGCCCTGTCAGAGTCAGGCACTGCTCGGGGACTCGTTTCGATGTCAATTGGAACAATTAAACTGCCAATTTGTGCGATTTAACACGGCCCAGAGGACCGACCTAACAGCAGAGGCGAGAGTGACCAAAGTTGAAGTTGAAGTTCGAGTTGACTCGATTTATCTGTGACTAATTTTTGTAATTTAACGCACCAAATTGTCACAAAACGAGAGCCTGGGAGTGCTGCTGATGCGGCTGCTCCTGATGGAGGGGAGAGCCAGAAGCAGAGCGGAGCGGAGCGATGGCAAACAATCACTCCAGGTGTCTCACGTGTCACGCCTCTTCAGTGGCAGGCAGCCAGCAGGATCCTGATGCCTGGTTCTTGGTTCCTGCTTCCTGCTTCCCCTATGACTTATTAGCCCTGCTGTGCAGCAGGATCAGCCTCAGCTCTGTTCTCCCTCCCCTGGTGTGAATTTCTAATTGCATTAGCAACTTATTGGCTGCTGCCTCCTTTTGCCTCGACAATTGACTTTTGTTTGTTGTAGCCCACTGCTCGCCCCACACTCCTCTGCCTTTCTCCCCACATCACAATCTCTAATTGTGGCAAAAGGCAGGAGGCAAAAGGAGGTGGAAACCCACCCCAGGGCCTATGCCTATGCCTATGCCTTTGCCATCACATCACCCCTGTGCGGATCGTTGTCGTCTCGTTTTCAGCTTTATGTTGGGACACGCCTCCAAGCATGAGTTTTTATTATTGTAACACTTTGCAGGCAATTTGCTGCCGGCTGCGGGATTGCCCTTGCCCTGTGGATGCTCTTTTGCCTCGACTCAAACTGAATCTGAATCGGAAGCTGGCACTGAGATTGCGGCAAATGAACAAAGTGGGAAGCAGAAACAGGGTTCGGCTTGAATGGTTCAGGGAATGCGCTACAGTGTATAGGGGAAACGAAACTGGAACCAAACCAATATATGTTCTATCACGAACATATGTACGTATCACTCCCCTACTATCAAATGTGCGATTCCTTGTGCAGCTCATTTGCAGTTCGATGTGGCCGTCGCTTCTGTGGCCGCTGTGGCTGGAACATGGGAATCTGCCCAAGTCTGTGATTTTCTCCTGCCTTCGGTTCACCCCCTTTGCCAGATTTGCCTTTGTTGTAAATTATATTGCCATTAATTACGCGCGGATTTGTGTTGAGCTGAACAGCTAAGCAGCCGTAATGCAGCACGTTAAAAATCACTTTAAAATCATTAAAAAAAAACAAGTAAATCGGTTGGCGTTGCGGACGGCAGGCAGGGTGGAGTTGCAAATGCTGATCCTGCTGCGAGTCCAGTAGGAAAAGGGGGTCATCGTTGAATGCAGGGACAGCCATAAATCAAGCCATGAATGCGCGCTGTCATAATTTGTCATAAGGCCGGGGCACGCCCACTTTTGTGCATAGTTAGGCAACACATGTGGCAAAGCAGAGGGAGAACGTTGCCTGCTCTGTTGCAAGTTTGTTGCTAGCCCGGCCAAGAGCCTTAGCCACTGTGACGGAGACACAGACCTTCAAAGGCACCGAGGACGACTCATTAAAGTGCACTTGTCAGCGGCCAGAGACATCAGAAATATCTCCATGAAATCGTATGCAAAGTGGACACGGAGTGACTGCCCCTCATGGACAATCAGCGGCAATCAGCAATGTAAGCGGCATGTAAGCCCCCCAAAGGGGGGACACCACAATCAGAGTGCCAGGGGGCTGCGAGGCGACCATTCATTGCTGGCATTGCCAGCCGATCTGTCAGTCCCGTCCCCCAAAGACGAACGATCGGGCACCCAGAGCCTGGCTCCGACTGTTCAAATTCTGCTGAAGAAGCCCGAAACACACAAAAAGAATCAAACGAAAATGCACTCACGCACCTGAATCCCTAATCAGCGGCCAGCGATGACGATCCGTCAGGTCGGACAGGCGGCAGCTACCGGCGGCGACATTGCTCTCTCTCTGCTGCGGACAGCCAATGGGGTATCAGGTGAAGTATATTGGACTGCCACGTAATGGAGATGAGATAGATGGACGTCAATATATATAAAAGAGACTCTCAAAGAATCAAGGTAAGGTGGTATGTTCGTGCGATAGCAGGCAGCTTTGAGCTAGCTTTGGAATATCGAAAGAGTCCTATATACCACATTTCATATACAATGCAATAGAACTGTTCGAAGAGTCCTCTTTCCACTTGCCTAAAGGGTACCTGCCTTGTCGAATCTCTCTCTGCCAAATGCACTCTTACTTGTTTTCTTTTCATTTGGTTTTGTGAATTAATTAATTACAATTTTATGATTTTATTAATTTCCAAAACTGAAATATAAAGAATGCAAGCGGCAGACCTTTTCCCAGTCCCTCATCAATGAAGCAGTGTCGCCATCGCCGTTGCCGTTGCCGTCGGAGTCCGTCTCTGTCTCTGGCTGTCCGTGTCTCTCCCCAACTGTCCGATCCGCCACTGTCCGTCCGTATTCCAATTCCCATGGCTTATGGGCACGTACCTCGAACTCGTAATAATAATGAATGTAAATTGCCGCAATGAACGATTTAATGTCTTAATTCTTTATTTATACTGCATTTTCATATTCAATATGTCGCTGCAGGCACGCCTCCTCGCCTCCTCGCCTCCACTCTCCCACACGGCCTCTGGGGGCGGGAGTTTCACAAACAATTTGAAAATAATTATGTATTACATTGCGGGGACTGGCATTATTTCACCGCAAGCGAATGAACAGAACAAAGTGCCGACTGCATGAATAATGCAATAATTAACCAACAAAAATAATGAATTTCAATAAAAATATGAAAATTTATATTCGAATTGAACAATTTTCAAAAGACTTTTCACGGCTCGCACTTGGTCACGAAGGAAGCCGTTTGTCAAAATGTGTCCAACGATTCCGTGCCATCCAATTACATATACGTGCACCCTGACCCCCCCCCTTTTACACTGAACTAAACGATTCCGAGAAGAATATTAGAAACGGGTGTCCAAGTGTCTGGGGTCTGGGTCTGGGTTTGGGGCCTGGGCAGCCGCCAAAGGGTCGGCTCTTCAGAGGTCTGGGAAGGGTTTTGGGGCAGAAGAACTTAAATTGCAAGAGGAAATATTTGCAGGAGAATATAGAATAAAGAATGGAATCCCTGAAGATTGCCTCAGTTTTTCTTGAAGGTTTCCCCGCTAACCCATGTATATTTTTACGTCCCAAACTGCCAAAGGGAAGCAAATATCCATCAAAATCGCGACTATTATCTAACTAACTATTCCTTGTATTGCCTTCTTATTCCTTTTAAAATATATATCCAGAAAATTCAGTTTCCCGACAGGATATCCGTATCACATCCTCCGTTTAGATCTAGATATATGGATCGCCCACACGCACAAAACAGAGCTAATCTTTTTGCATAATTTGGCATGACGATCCGACATTAATCAGGGGACTGAGAGGTCTCCCAAACCACAACCACTTCCGCTCCGTGGTAGAACGCACTGAGATCTGAAAAGAGGGTAGGGATCTGAGCACATAATAAACCAAATTGTGGCGTGTGCACGTATTGTGAGTCCGTTTTCGAATCGGAGTCCCTGGGTGGCCCAACTAGAGATCATTTAGGATGAGTTACGAGGCCAATGGTATGGAACGGCCTACGTGTCCGCTTCAGTGGCACGTTTAAACAGTTTGAATATATGCCTGCAAAGGACACACGTGTGGAGATGGGTAGATAATTGATAAGATTCGAGCTGCCGTTTAGATAATTGATATTCCTGTCCAGAAAAAGAGAGAGTCACATAGCAAGGGGGACTTCCCGCAGAGCCACTTCTCCTGCTCTTCATAACAGAGACAGAGCAATCCCCACTTAAGCCACTGACTAAAAAACGACGGACGCAATTTATGCCACAGCATCCGGATGGGATGGGATGCCGATGCCACACCCACAGCTCCCCGGCCACATGTGATTTGGTGAGTTGGCAAAATAAAAGCCAAAATAATAAAAAAAGAAGATGTTCGATGCACAAAAGCAAATCATCATCATCATATGGACAGGGCACGGCACTGGGGAGCTTTCTTCTTGGCAACGCCCACAGACACAGACACAGGCACATACATAGATACAGATGCAGATACAGATACACACACACACGCGCGCGCATAGCGACCCGTATCAGTCTGTCTGGACTCGCTCTAGTTCCGCCCACCGACTTCCGGGCCCGCAAAGTGCCAACTTGCTGCGGAGTCTCCGTTTTTTGTTGCTATAATTTCAACGCCAGCGCTTAATGTGCCGCAATGCCACGGAGTGGGTGGCGCATGTCCATAATTACAAACCACCCACCGAGTGGGCCCTGTCCGCAAGCACCAAAAAAGTGATGACGTAGTTGTGTGGTGTGTGTTTGTGTGTGTGTGCCACAACTGAATTGTTTGGCAACGCCCACCGCTCAGCGGGCGCTCAAATTTTGCGGTAATCATCGACGCGCCAGGGGAGGCGAGCCAGTGGAAGAGATGGAGATGCTAAGTGCTGGCAGCAATCTGGGGAACTGGACAGCAGCCAAACCAATAAACCTAAAAAAACTAATTTAATATAACGTTTTCTGTAAGAATACTATAACTGCAGCAGCGGTGTGCCACAGCAGCTAGCTTTTGTTGGGCCCTGCTTCTCGTTTCGATCGACTTGGAAGGCCATTGATAGAGAGCGCTCAAATTGAATTGCTTCGATTTTGAATTAAGTGTTTATTATTTAGTGTATTCGACTGCTAAAGAACACAACCGTTGCACTGCAAAGCCTCCATTTTGCGCTTAAACATCTAGAAAAATAGCCTTGCACATGGCCTAAAACTAAATTTGACTATGATTGCATGCAGAAATGGCCAATATCTCAAAAGTTACAACGTATCACATTACAAAAGAAAACTCTCCCGTCCGATTCTACAGGCGCTGTACACAGCGCCTCACAAACTTGGCCTTGTGGAGGCACATGAAGCGCAGTAGGAAGATGATCAGGAGAAGGCTGACGCCATAGCCCACAACGAGGACGGCACGCTTCCGACGACGCCACCTCTGGTAATCGCGCCAGGATTCGTAGCGATTGCGGAACTGCGGCGGCAACTCGAACTTACTGCGTCGCGGGAAAAACGAAAGGTAGAAGTCCTCGAGCAGATGGCGCACTAGATCGTTGTCCTCCGTCCGCCTGGCATCCAGATTGTCGTTGATGCAGTTGAACTTCCGCGGATTACGACGCATCTTGTCCAGGGACTCCACAACCTCCGTGAGATTCGAGGTGAGCATCATAAAGTTGCTGTGCAAGGACCGCTTCGGACTGATGTTGTAGCGGTATCTGGAGCGCTTCCCAAAATTGGACGTGAGGGCTTCGGCCAGCAGGGGGCAGCGGACGACCAGTTCCCGCGTTATAGTTGGCTGTGAAAGGAACAGTTAGTTGTTTTCTTCGAGCTATTCCAGTCACCTACCAGATTGGAGTCCTCGTAGCGCTCATAGACCAACGTCGAATGCACCACTGTATCAGGGGTGACATATAGGCCCAAGGCTCGGGTGCAGTTCTGAACAACCTCCTCAAAGTAGTGCATCGCCGACCAGTCCAAGGGCGGGGAATACATGCGAGTGAGAAATGTACGCACCTCCCGGTCTGACCAGGTTCCGGAAGCATCCGTGTCAAAATCGTCGAAGATCTCCTCCACGCTCAGCAGCTGCGTCTCGCTCATAAGGAAGGAGTAGTAAGCAAAGGCGTACTGTAGGTCTGTGGCTGAGCGGAAGCGCTGATGAGCCGTGTCCAGGACCTGCTGCGGGAAACGGAGCTGCATGGCGTCAACAATATCGCGGTCGAGCAGGAAGCCCACGTGAGCCAGGACATGGCGAGCCTTGAAGCCATAGGCCTTATTCAGCAGCATGTTGGTGACAATTAAGGAGTGCGAATAGATGTCTGTGGATGACTTGAAGTCCTCCTTGTGCAGTACGTTACGCTGGCTCGTTGGCATCACTGTGCTGCTGTCCTCCAGATCGGGATTGAGTGACATTAGCTTATCCTTGTTGAAGCGCTCCACAATGCGCCGTAGCTCGAGCAGGGTGGACACGTTTCGATGCCGCATTACATCCTTGAAGTTCGAGGAGCTCTGCTTGATTAGCTTCTGCAGGCCCAGGTGCGGGAATTTGTGTATTGTAGAAGGAGCTGCTTCCTCCTCGTGCGTCTCCTGGCTGTGCATGACGATGTGGGAGCCGTCCGGCTGCTCCGTATCGCTGCAATCCCCGCCATCGAACTGGCATGCATCAATGTTGCAATGGCGGTCACAGGCCCCATCTCCTATATACGTCCAGGGACAGTCCAAGGCGCAGTCGGGCACCATCCAAGCCTGATAGACCCGAACACCTTCTGCCTCCGTATACAGATCTTCCGGAAAGAGCGGCGCCCCCAGGAATATATCGTCGTTTAAGTACAGAAATCTCTTGGACAGCGTTGGAATACGATGCAGGAATGTCTCGATGGCCGCACTAGAGAACGTCGGCAGCTGCGCCGGGTCGGGGGCCAGCACCTCGTGGGGAACCACAGTGACGCGCTCGTAGCTAAGATCCAGCCAGTTAGGAATCTGGCCATTGGTCACAATATACACGTGGCGAATCCAGCTGGCGTGCTTCTCCAGCGAGCGCAGTGAGTACCGCAGCTCATTCTTATCGTCGAACCGCGAGGGATCATAGTTGGGGTCAAACCGACTGATGGCCTCGATGAAGCTGGGATCTGAACCGTTCACCCAGGTATAGACGACGTCGATGGGCGTGCAGGGGATGCTGTTGTCACTAATCTGGTTGTCCTCGGATATAGACATCAGACTGCCACCCAGCCAGAACATCAAGCACAGCCCGCCAACCACTGGTACGTAAGAAAAACTACGATTATTCCAGATGACAAGTGTCCAAAAATTAGATCCTACCCGAAAACAGCTGCAGCTTGCGGCGCGACTGCATCTTCAGCTGCTCGATGGCGCGCCGCATTTTACGTTGCCACGAACGGCGGCGCAGACGCATCCTCAGAGACTTACAGTGCACATTTCATTGATGATTTCATCGTTAAAAAGAAAACAACACACAAGTGAAATGGTTTGTTTTGGTTTTTGACCTAAATCAATTAACCGCACGATAGGCTATGGTCACACTGACAATCAACGATATCTGTAGGGTGACCGTTTACGGTATTTTTTGAGGACAAAATTGAACCGACGGTATATTTACGGTATATCGGTATATAATGGTAAATTTTGCCAATTTTCAACGTTATATAGAAATCAAATAAAAGCAAGTATTTAGAATAAACCAGTTAAGTAAAAAGTAGATTTATTAATCGTATAAAATTATGTGGGCATGGCCAAATGTTCTATATAGCTAGTAATATTCAACGGAAGATCAAAATCGAGGAATATGTAAAATAGATCTTCAATTCGTCAGTATATTTACGGTATATTTTTTTAATGAGATGGTATGTTTCGGTATATTTCTGAGGGTCGAACGGTATATTTTATCAATAACCCCGCGGTCACACTGCTGATCTGCTCCAGTGATGTAAGTTTAATTAAAAACATCGATGTCGATGTCCATCGATGTTGTCAAAATCAAACATCGATGTTGGATTGATACATCGGATTTATTCTTCGATGCATCGATGTATGAGCGATGTTTCAAATCTTTCCCATTTGATTATAAAACGAATATTCCACAAAGGAAAAATTAAACTTGAGCTTTCATAGCAGTCTTTTACATATCATAGGACTAAACGGAAAAATATTTAACATAAAAGAAATGATTATGTTTTGCAAGACATCGATACATCACTCAACATCGGTAGCAGCAAAAACATCGGAAAACATCGGCAGAAAAACATCGATGCTCGATGCATCGATGTTTTTGTCATCACTAATCTGCTCACTTCCTGTCAAAATCGCGTCACGCGTTTTTTCCGCAGACAAAAAGTTATTTTTAGTATTTAGTGCAGAAAATACGGTTTAATTCATACATAATTGAGTGCGGCACGGTTTTTACAACGCGTCCGCTCAAGTTTTCTGCACGGATGTATCGCAGAGATGTGGATATTTTGTGATTAAAATTTCTCCCCATCTGAGGTAGGCGTAAGAAAAATTGTGAAAAAATGTCTGCCCAGTATATAAAAGTGGCTGCTGCGCACACCAACACAAAGAACCGACGCCATATCGTATATATGGTCGTCTCTTTCTGACTGCGGCGTTTTCGCACATGTTTGAGAGAGATGGCTGATAGTTTTGAGAGCTAAAATGTCTTGAAATTTAAACAAATATAATTCTTACAGTTAATTGTGAATATATGTACTTTTAAATGGTGGTCACGTAATCTGGCCTTAGAAAACGCGTGTGTAGAGAAAGAAAAATCGAAGAAAATGCCAAGCGCAGAGTTGCATTTTCGGTGCGTTTGCGTGCAACGAGGAGGGGAAAAGTTTTGTGATAAGCTCATTTCAGGATGACTCTTATTTTATTGCTTAGCTTTACTGAAACTGGATACTACGCTTAGCATTTCATATACACCGTAGAAGCAAATTTTAAAAAAGTTATATCAGGCAAAAGGTGGGTGCAGAACATGTGCTCTTCTGCCGGATGAGCCGAAAGCGGCAAAGCGAATGTTTCCCGCCAAACCAATGATAATTCAAAATAATAGCGAAAGATCCATATCGTTTGGTGTACTTGCAGATGTCTCAAACATGAATGAAGGTAATTCAGCAGGAGGGGGGCATGAAGGGCTAAGCCCGGCCCCTCCTGCTGTGTCAGACCGCGTAACTTTACACTCTACGGAAAAATCAGTTGCACTCCCAAAATTGAACACAACAACAACGGCGGCTACAACAACAACAACAGTGACCAGCAATAGAACAACAGCAGCAGCCCTACCGGCTTCCCGCTACTCAGCACAACCGAAAGGAGTCCGTAGTATCAGTAGACAACACCAACAGCAGCAGCTGCCCAGTGCGCAGCTGCCTGTGCCGCTGTCGCCCTTGCCGCCACAACAGCAAACGACAGAGGCAACGGCAGCCACGCCAGTAGCAGCACCACCTACAACCACAAACACACTCGTCTCATCCGCCCACTCCGCCACCACGAGCATCATAGAAGCCTCCGCCTCGCCGCCGCAGGCCAAGCGTCAGCGTTTGGACAACAGTCCGAACTCCAGCCAGGCGAGCAGCAGCATTGTCGGGACTGCCAGCAGCAACATTGTTGGCTCCCTGCTGCCGGCTTCTGTGGCCTCCAGCAGCGAAGTCGGTGGGGTATCTTCGGAAGCCCTGCAAGACTCGAATGCGCTCAAGAAGCGCATTCTCCAGCAGAAATTGCAGATTTTGCGTACTCTTAAGGAAAGGTATGATCGATTATCGCGCCATGCATAGTGCGGCTTTTCGTGCTCACGCTTTAAATTCCCCTCCACAGGCATCTTGAAAATGTGTCCGAATACTTTTACCTACAAAACGGCGGCAGTATGATGGACTACCCTGCGTGGCGTAAAAAGACACCAACCCCGCAATTCATCAGCTACAGCAATGCAAATCGTATAGATCAGCTGGTACACGAGGATAAACCTAGCACGTCAGCGGCATCCGGTGCGGCCCAAGCCCAGAGAACTCCAACTCCGCAACAAGCAACACTGGAGACGACGACGACGACGGTGATAAGCGGAACAAGCAACACCGGGACGACTGGACAACAGGTGGACGGAATCAGCAATAGCACAGTGAAAGCGGTTAGCAAAAATTACTATAAACGCCTAGATATGTTAGCCAAGTGATGTTAAAATTCAACTGAGCGCCGTTATCGGTCTATTTTTGATTGATTTTGGCTGTTAAAAGGATGTTCGCAGTTGCGAGGCATTTGTCTGATGGAATATTGTTATCAACTACCGTTGACCGCGTAGGTTTTATTTTACAGAATACTAAAGATTTTTTTATCTGTTTTTCCCCAGAATACGCAATCTCAATTGCCAGAAAAGATTGGCAGCAGCACTACGGTAACTCCCGCAGCTGCAGGGGCAGCAGCAACAGCAACTGCAAGCCACTCGACGAGCAACAGCAGCAGCAGCAGTCCCGCCCCAGCTGCAACCACACCAGCAGCAAGCACATCTACCACCACAAGCGGCAGTCTAGTCGAGGCAAGCGGTAATGTTCATCCACCGGAGGCGGAGATCAAGATTCCAGCCGTGGGCGCCACACCAGTGGCCATTTCAACAAAACTACCCGCCGCTGTTGTCCAGCTAACGCAGCAAGGTAAATTTGATGTATTCAATGGATCCCCCAAAAGTGGATCAAACCTCTCATTTTTACCATTATTTTTGTTTGTGTTTTCGTTGTGTTTGTTCGACTGTTCGATCAAAAGATACTGTATTTTCTGTTACTGCGTTTTTACAAGATGTTTTATCGTTTCTTTCCATTCCTTTCATTATTTTTCCTATGTTAATGCCAAATTGAAATTTTAAAATCATTGCCAAAAAACTTTAGCCAACTGCATACCAACTCGAACTCCTGTAACCGAACCGTAACCGTAACCGTAACCGAATCGTGCCAACTGCCAACGCACGTCCTGCACTCACATGAAACCAAAATAAACATATTTAAACTCATTTATATTGAGGCCGCCATCTAATACTATATCCTACTATGTCCTACTAATATTTACCACAAAATCAAATTAAAAAACTAGCAAAACTCAGTTGCTAATTTTGTTAGTTTATACACATACACACGACACACATTAACACGCTATACTATCCCAATGGACCCGAAATTCTTAGTCGAGAATTACGCGAAAATCAAACATTTTAAATTAACGGAATCAGCTCCGCCGAAAATCGTAAACTAAATCGCTCACCAGCACAACATGCTCAGCGCTCATTTATGGATTTCATACGATAGTGCCGATGTTTAGTGATTTTCATTCATAATATGAATTTGTGCATCACAATCTATCAGTGATTCCTGATCATGTTGTGCTGATTTGCAGGCCTTATTCGATATCTTTAAAGATACAATTTTATCCACTTTTGGTCCACTGGGATGAAAAACATTTCTTTGTATTTACGAATGTTTCTGATTTCCAAATTTTGTTTATTACATTTTTGTTTGTTCTTCATTTGTATGATTTGTATTTCTGTTCTCGCTATCACATCCCATGCAAATACCCTCCCCACATATGTACATTCCTATAACGCACACACTCTCAACTCACCATAATTGTATCGTTATCGTTATAATATAGGTCACATACCCGGTAGACCTTTAGGAGGTCGTCACGGTATGGTCTTCGGTCAAATACCAGCTCCTCCTGCTGCCGTAGGAAATTCTTCTGTACCTTTGGTGCCAGGTGCTTATCGTTCGCAAACTAAACACAAAACAAAACTACAAAAATATCAAAAAACTAAAAAAAAAAAAGAACAAATATTCTCAGCAAAGAAAAAACATTATCGTTTTGATTGAAATTCTTATATATAAACTAAACATTTTGTCTGTTAATTATTGAATATTGAAGCATTTTATTTATCATTTTCCAAGCGCAAAAGTAGTGCATTTATTGATGTGCCTAAAGTTTCATTTATTTAATTCGTTCCTTCTAGAATTGGTGTCTTTTTGTCCTTAGTTAGTTATTAATTGGATTTGGATTTGGATTGGTATTGGTAAAACTGCTTAAAGTTTGATTTACGTTTGAATTGAATAACTGATGAATGTACATTTTTGATTGATTCGTTGATTTGTAAGCAAGTTAGCAAACTTAAGCATACTTAGAAAATTTGATTGCGCGTTGATATTCATGATCCACATGATCCATTATCCATTGGGATTGTCACACCACCAGTTGGGCCACCACTTCTTCTCACAAATCGCCTATTACCCATCATTCCCATCATTAGCTCTAGCCTAGTTCTATAGCTCTCAAGTTAACCCGCACCTAAAAGCGTTTTCTTGATAGTCTCTTTGAAATGCTCTTGAAAATCGTAGATGTGTGCCATAGCAAGGCTCAGTTGCAAGTGATTCTGCCCCATCG